ACCTGTGCCTCCTGTGCCACCCGTGCCTCCTGTGCCACCTGTGTCACCTGCGTCACCCGTGTCACCTGTGCCCCCTCTGCCACCTGTGTCACCCATGTCACCTGTGTCACCCGTGCCACCCATGCCAGCCATGCCACCTGTGCCAGCTGTGCCCCCCACGCCACCCAGGCCACCCATGCCATCTGTGCTACCCGTGCCACCCGTGCCCCCTACACCACCTGTGCTACCTGTGCCCCCCACGCCACCCGCGCCCCCCTGCCCCCTGTGCCACCCGTGCCACCCGCACCGCGCGGGACGGCCACCTGCAGTGCCAGCTTCTCCCCGCAGGCCTCAAGCGGAACCCGTGCTGGGTGGAGCGCTTCAACGTGCAGTTCCTGGGCTCCGTGGAGGTGCCCTACCACCAGGGCAACGGCATCCTGTGCGCGGCCATGCAGAAGGTGGGCCCGGCCCCCTGCGCGGGGCGCAGACCGGTGCCACCCGCCGGCTGACCGCCCGTGCCGCCTCCCCAGATTGCCACCACCAGGAAGCTGACGGTGCATCTGCGCCCGCCGGCCAGCTGCGACCTGGAGATCACGCTGCAGGGCATCAAGCTCATCCTCACGGTGAACGAGTACGGCCGGGACGAGGAGGTGAGGGCGCGGGCCGGGCGCGGGCCGGGCGCGGGGCCGGGCACGGCGCCGTCCCGCGATTCCAGCCACGATTCCTCCCGCAGTTTGAGCGGTGCAGCCACTTCTTCCAGATGAAGAACATCTCCTTCTGCGGGTGCCACCCCCGCAACAGCTGGTGAGCACCCATCCTGCCCAGCGTCCTCCCCACGGGGTCCCCGTGGCGCGTGGGCGATGGGCGCGTGGGGTGCCGGGCCGGGCTCGCCGTGGGGCGCGCGGCCGTGGGGCAGGGCCGGCCGCAGCCCTCACCCTGCGCCCGCACTGCAGCTACTTCGGGTTCATCACGAAGCACCCGGTGCTGAGCCGCTTCGCCTGCCACGTGTTCGTGTCGCAGGAGTCCATGCGGCACGTGGCCGAGTGCGTCGGGTAAGGCGAGCGCCGCGCCGGGCGCCGCGCGCCCCCATGGGCGCTCTGCTGGCGGTGGCACCGGGATGGGCACGTGGGGACGGGTCTGGGGGGTC